TCTCTTTTATGTATTCAAATTAGAAAAAATATTTATATCTCTATTTGATAGTTTGTCAACTAAGCCTGGAATTTCCAACGCATACCTTTTTGAGATATGCAAAATAGAATTTGGTCATCCTTGCCAACAATTTGCGAAAATGTACACCATTAAATTATTTATAAGACTCAAGAATTTTTTATACTCTTAAATATGCAAACAGAGATTTGAAATCCTCGAAAAAGTCAGACAAAACCAAAAGAAAAATAAAAATTTTGTCCCATTTATAAATATTATTGATTTTTTTTCATCATATTTTTGACTGCTTTATAAAAAAAGTTATTTTTCTTTGTAGTTTTATTTCTTAACTATTCCAATAAATAAATAAATTATTATCATGATCCAACAAACGCGCACCTTCAGCCAAACCGACATCACCTTTGTGAGAGAGCCAGTCGGTAAAGATGCCTCTGCGTACATTCATATCTGGTCTAGGGCAACGCCCTGTTTGTGTTCATCTCTTGCTAAGCGGTATTGTCGTTGTCCTTGTTTTTCGCATTATAATGAGAGATAAAACAACAGAGGCACACATTTACTGTGCCCTGTGCCCAACTTAACGCGGTTTGCGCTGAATATTAGATAAAATAATAATAGGCATTGAGGAAAATATAAAATATGTAAGTTATTTTTTTTTGGTTTATTGTACTAGGGCACGTGTCCAAGTGCCCTTACGGGCAAACCGCCACTGGAATCAAATGACACAATAGTACCATCATATTGATGTCATGACCCTAGTATCGCAAATCAAAACTTTTTGATGTATGACAGAGTAACAGTTACAATTTCATGTCACTGGCATTAATAGGTCTTTTTCTTTGCATCGAAAGTGTAGCACTGATCGACACCACTTCTGAAAATATCGTTCCATTTATACAAATTGTATGAATGGAACGATATTTTCAGAAGTGGCGTAGCTCAGTGCTACACTTTCGAGGCAAAGAAAAAGACCTATTAGGCATTCCAACGACCTGTCAAACAATAGGTGCCAGTGGGAAATTCTTGTATATTTAAGGGGGTAGCGACATAGTCTTGCAACTTGGACACTATTTTTATTCGAAGTAGTACTCGCCAAGCCTGCCAATTTATGAAAAAATGTATAGGTGGGTTTTTTAAATATTATTTTTATTGTGTTTGACATAAAATATTTAAATGTATTCCATTATTCATGATTTTACGTAAAGTAGATAGAATACACCATATGTCGCCACCCTTAGATATACCAAACCTGCCCACTGGTAATTCATTTGTTTGGAATGCCTAATTGTTTCACCAATTTTAATCGTATGAAAGTTGATTGAGACACTACAAGTTTTTTTTACAAATTTATTCTTTTTTATTATGAATGAAGTGACGATAATCTGCCACTCCAAAATTTGCATTGGTTCGTGTGCGTATTTCCAGGATCACCTTCAGTTTATTTTTATACAGACCTGGATTTTTACCTCTAAATTTTTTTTTTTAGCTTTTGTAAATACAACTGGATGTTACCTGTGACCATTTCACTACGTTTCGTTTATGAAAATATAATCGAAAGAACATAGTTGCCAAACACTAAAACAGAATTTAAATTTGCTACAGATACAAGATTTTTATGTCTAATTTAATAACTACTAAAAATAGTGGATTTATCTCATGTTTTAAATCGACCAAAAATGGTTTTACAGATGAAAAACGCTATCATAACAAGCACAAAAGCTGATAATATTTTCATGAACCAAACTTAGTAAACCAATCGTTGTATTTTCTATAAAAAATTACTGGTAAAAATCCAGGTCCGTATTTAATAAAATAAAGTTAAAGGAATAACAATGCTAGACTTGAGACAGTCATGGTATTAGATAATATTATCTCAACTAGCCTTCAGGTGGGTTACAAAGGGGTGGTTTGACAACATGATACAAAAAATTACAGAAGTATTATATGACGAAATCTCGTCGAGGTCGCTCATGACGTATTGTGGTGTGGAATATGGCCATGAGCGCTGTTTTCTATCAGCTGATACCTCAAATTCGTAAAAGCCACGCCTCTTCACCACAATACGTCACCGTCACGTAGTATCAATCTGCGTAATATACCTTCTTTTTAACCAACTTAAAAAAAAAGAGGAGGAGGTCCACAATTCGTTGGAATATTTTTTGTTACGTATGTTCAGCGATAATTCTTTAACACGTTGTCCGATTTCAATGATTCTTTTTTGTTAGGAAGAGGGTACTTAGGGGTGGTCCCATGCAAATTTGGCCAAGCTCTAATAATTTGCTCCATGAGAAAATCCTCAAAACTCTTAATTTTTTATGTATATTCAGCGATAATTATTTACCACCTTGTCCAATTTCTATTATTCTTTTTTTTTTGTTAGAAAGGGGGTAACTCAGAGGTGGTCCCATTTAAATTGGGTCAAGATCTGGTAATGGCATCTGCGCGATTTTCAAATCGGTTTTTTAAAATTACTTTTATAACTTGTTATGGTATCATCGTTTGACAAGAGGTTGATTTGAGTGCGCTATGCAAAATATTTTTTAGTTCCATATCACACACCATATTTTTTTCAAATTTATCTTGTCAAATAACTCAAATATTAGCTGGCATGGGACTCCGGTATTAATATCAAAATCCTAACGAGTTCCTTGATAACTTATTTTAAATAATAACATGGCATAATCGGTTCACTCATGATAAGAGTTTTTCATATAAAAAATCCCTTGTTATTTATAACGCAAATTTATTATATTACGATAACGTAAATTAACTTTTTCTAGTTTATAAAGTTTAAATCTGTTTGTTGATGAATACAAAATAATACCACCATAATCGGGACTGTATTTTATTTTAAAATATTAAATATTAACCCGCTTATTAACCGCTGTAATTTATTAAAAACAATCAAACCAAGCCATTTAAAGTAAAATAAATCAATTTTGTTAGAAACTGCGCATATATTTTATGATTATAGTCTCGTTTTATTTAAAATAATGATCGTTAAAAAGTTGTGTATCAAGAAAGTATTATTAAAAAATGTATTACTCAATGCTTATAAAATAAATTTGAAATGTTTCTGCAAACTTGATTAATACCTAGATAAGTGTTTATCGCACAATAAGTATAAATTTGTTTAAATAATTATACTTTGTTGTTTATGGTTTTTACTTATCCTTTTTTTTTTGTAAATCATAAATATGAAATGTTTTTCTTAATTGAAAACAGTGGCGGCCGCTGACCAAAAAATTGGAGGTTCACAATGAGAGAATATAGGTCTCAGTACAGATCTAGGTAAAAAGCTTTTAGTGTTTTGGCGAGGTGTAGTATAAAACTGAAAGTTTTTTACCTAAATCTGTACTGAGATCTATATTCTTTTATTGTGAACCCCCAATTTTTTGCTCACGTGCCGCCACTGGTTCAAAATATATCTACTGATGTAATATCCTCTTTAATTATTCATGTTTCAGCTAATAATTATCAACACATTTTTTTGAGTTAATTGAAATGATAAAAAAAAATTAAAGCAGTTATAGTAGCAATGCGCAATATTTTAAACCTATTATTAAACAAATACCATTTTCAAACCTACTTTGAGCTAGTTTAGATATAATGACTACAGTTTTTATATCGTTTTTCTGAATATTTGTCTTTTTTGACTCCCAGGTTTCGACGGATAGATCAAATGTATATTTTATATGTATATTTTAAGACTTTCAAAAAGTATTTTATTTTCCATAAGTCTTAAAATATACATATAAAATATACATTTGATCTATCCGTCGAAACCTATATTATAGGTTCGAAAAATAAATTACTCACTGACCCCTTTCTTGAAATCAATAATGAAACCAATCGTTTTCCAACTTTTTTCGGGTCATAGCCCACTTTTTTCAAACAGTAATTTGATGGTGGCCTTCATAGGGGATTATAATACATTATTCATTGAAAAACAAGCAGATTTCTTAAATGACTTTATTTAAAATCATTCACACAGCTGTATATTCATTATTAAAAAAATAATACAATAATATTAGTGAGAGGGTAGAGCTTGGTGTAATTTGTCGAATTTGGTTCCATATTTTTCACCAACAATCTTAAATTGCTGCGTTCTTCTACTGACAATATATTTCTTTTCTTTATTAATTAATAGTTTATGCTAAATCCGCTTTGCCTTTAAAGCTAAAATATAAAAAATATTTTTAAATTTAAGTATTCATTTTGAAAATTTAAAGCCTCCACGCTTTCAAACAGACCACTTTATGATGTAGGTAATTTTGTCTCAATCGACTTATTTTGATCTCACCAACATACAATAGCTCTATGTCCACGAAATTTTAGTACACCTTGAATAATGTATTAATACCTACTTTTAATATGGCCGATCTTGTTTATAAAGCATTATTTGGAACTATTTCTTAAAACATGCGCTTGATGATTTTTAGTATTAATCTTTTCATTCCGTTCTTTTGAGTATTTTCCAGAGGGTTGCCTCGACGTGTCCTAAATTTAACTTGGGATAAAAACGCCCCCTTAGATCTCTTCAACGCCCATCGGTTGACGATATCGCCTCTGTTGGGAACTACTGATCTATGTCATCATTTAAACCAAAAAAGACAGATAGAAAAAAATTATAAGACTGGGAAAACCGCATTTCCTTATCCGTATTTGTGAACTGATCTTAGTTGAATCGGAGTTGGCTGAGTCGTACAAACAAAAATCGAAGTTAGGTTATAACTTCTCTAGAGTTTCAGGTGGTTCCCGTGTTGCACTGCAATTTAGAGATGGACAGTAGCAAATCCGTAGCTGTTAAATACATTTATGGATTTGTTACTACCCATCTCTAAATTCACGCAATATAACCGAACTTCAATTTTCGTTCAAGAACGACTTAGCTGAGGCCGATTCACCAGTTCATAAATACGGGCCTAGTTTAAAAGTTATATAGATTTGAAAAGGGTCAAAATATAATGGGCTATCTTTTTTAGGTATCAAAATTGATAATAGGTCAGCTCGGATTACTATCGACCCCTGCTGTTTCCAGTTTAATCCGAAATCACAAAGTCTTAGGTAATTATATAAATATTTTTTTATTAGTACATTAATAGCCTAATTCACAAAGTACGAGTATCATTAAATTTACCCACATATAAATCCTTAAAGATAGAAATGTCAGTATATTGAATGTCCAATAGAGTTGGGCGATCTTTATTTAATTATAATTTGGGGAAACATAACCTCATTTATTTAAATTTAATTAATCACAGTAGCTAGCGATTGTGAAACTTCAAAGTGTGATTAAAAAGTAATGCCGTCGTCTAACATTACCTTTTCTTTGAATTAACGTTGAAGTTTCTATCTTTAAGTATTTACATGTAGGTAACTATTTAAAAGTGCTTTGTGAATACAGATATAATACAAATAAGCTTTTTTTATTCAAAATAATGGCTTATATCAAATAATATACTATCTATTCATAAATTTGTTGTTTTATTAAAAAAAATCTTTCAGGTGGTATTGTTTTGACGGCGTCTCACAATCCTGGCGGTATCCGACATGATTTCGGTATAAAATATAACATCGAAAATGGCGGACCAGCTCCTACTCATTTCACTGATGACATCTATGAACATTCTAAAAAAATTAAATCGTACAAATTTACGCCTAAACTTGAAACTGATAGACTTATTGATGTTTTAGGAACCACCTCTTTCAAGGTAAGTGTTATGTAGTTTCCAATACATAAATCGCATTTTTTTTTTCCTTTATATAAACAGAATCCAAATTTTTGTGATATAACTTTCGGTAATCGAAATGCCATTGTAATAATTATTATTAAACTGCTGTAATTTTATTTTATAGAATTGAGTCTATCAGTCTCTCAAAAAATAATATTTTCATTTTTGTTCTTTAAATTTATTTTATGTAAATATAATATTAGGCGTATAGTATTTTTTATTTCTTTATCTACAGACTACACTTCACACTTTTCATGGGTGTTGTAATATGCAATTCATATGAGTTGTGTTATCTAGGTTTTAGATTAAATTTCATATCAAAGCGCAACATCTTATTTTTTTTTTTTTTTTTCTATATTGAATACATCACGATAACTAAATATTCAATTTTTATTAATTAAATAAATCATGATTTTTTGGAGATAGTATCGATTCAAAAAGTTTTGCAATATCAAAGTACCTGATTTCAAAATTGTATGATTTTTTATTAAGTATATAAAGATAAGAACATTTTTCTAGAACTAGAAATTGTTTTATTATATATTTCAAAAATGTCTTCATTTACAAGAGTTATATTGATATAATATTATGAACAACTGCTGATGATATTATTTTATAAACCAAATGTCATTAGTCTATGAAAATGTGGTCAAAAATTAATTTTGATGAATAAAAACACACTAATTGCATTATAATAGTTTTAAAATAAAATTAGTTGTCCAAAATGCATAATGTGATGTAGAAAAAATATTAAAAAAAAATTATATCTGTGTGTACATACAATACAAATAATGAGAATACAAATTTGAATCAGAAAATTGAAAGTATTGCAAATTGAAAAATAAAATAAGACTTGTGTTAAAATAATCTTTCATTTAATAATAGGATAACTGATTTTTCCTACGACCAAATATTAAAATGATAGTTTGCACTCTCATTTGTACTTTAGAATAGTAGCTTATATGTGTTCTGAAATATATATGTCACACTTGTATTGAAAAGTAACAAAACACACATGTATTGAAACGTAAAAAAATATCGTCCTATGAACTATGACATGTACGTCAAAATTATCTTTATAATTGTTTTTTATAGGTTTTTAAAATTGTAAAAAATATTTTATAATCATTCTAGTAGTTCTTGCCATCTTCACTGTTACAAAATATTTTTTTTTTTTTACTTTTTGACACATGTGTGATATCTATACTTTTCATTACATGTGTGATATTGTTTAATTTACTTTTTTATTTGAAAAAGAGGGTTTTTTACTTGGTCGTAGGAGAAATAGTGTACCAAACTCATTGGAAAGTGTACTTCTCACACTCGTTCTAAATTTCAACTCGTGCGAACTGTTACACTTTCCACACTTGTTATGTAATATACTTTTACAAGTAAAACAAAATATCAGTTATTAATAAAAATAGTTATCCACAAAAAATGTTTCTAAAGTAGGCCACTCGGTAGGTCATAACCAAACTGGCACTTAGAAAGATGAAGAAGAATTATAAGCTTTGACATGCGTGAATTTTTCCAAAGCCACTTTAGGAAAAAAATTATGGATTACTCCATATATATGATATTAGTTTTTATTTGAATCTGGCTTGGTCGTGAAAATTTGACACATTTCAGAGGTTACTAGAGTCACAGTTAATTGCTAAAGAATCAGTTAGCTCACTTGGACCAGTTGAATGTTCCAAAATAACATCCACTCTAGGGATACAATTTCAGGATGCGCAGAAGACTGCTGTTTGAATATAGGCGGTTGTCATAAATTGTATTGGTTATGATTTGTTTCTGTATGCGCCAGGGATACAAATCCGAGTTGCGCAGTGTATAAACTGGAACATTGAGATCAAAAGTGCCGACGCAGAGTGAGCGAACTGATTTTTTAGCTATAAACTGTGCTATAGTAGCTTCAAAGATATTGTCTGATGCAGGTCATCCATAACAACCACATAAAAAAATTAGATTAATATGGATGACGTGCATAAGACACTTTTTTGCAACTACTATAACCAACATTATTCTTTCTATAGAAACATTAATTTGTTAGGTTGATGGCAATGATTTTGTCGTTGAAGTCATAGATTCCACAGCAGACTATGTTAGACTTATGAAGGAAATATTCGATTTTAAAAAACTAAGGACTCTCATTCGTGGAACTGAGCAACGTCCACCTTTCAATGTACTTATAGACTCAATGAATGGCGGTAAGAACTCATTTAATGAAATTATCTTGAAAGTTAAATTTTATGGCTTATAATTATTTTTTAGTCACTGGAGTTTATGTAAGACGAATTTTCGTCGAAGAACTTGGTGCTAGCCCAGACAATAACGTCTTTAGAATCGTACCGTTAGATAATTTCGGAGAAGTCCATCCAGATCCTAATCTCGTTTATGCCAAAGATCTCGTCGACAAAGTCAAAGGGAACAGTTATGATATGGGAGTCGCTTTCGATGGTGATGGAGTAAGTACCTACCTACATTTTAATCAACTAATTGAAATTATCGAGAAATTATTTTTAGGATCGTAACATGATAATTGGAAAAAAAGCTTTCTTCGTAACTCCAAGTGACAGTTTAGCTGTCATTGCAAACAATTTAGAGTGCATTCCATATTTCCAAAAACACGGAGTTCGCGGTTTTGCCAGATCGATGCCCACTGCCGCAGCTGTAGACAGGTAAATATGTTATGACTGTGTGTGGTCTTTTTATTAAAACTAAATTTCAAAAGAGAAATATACAGGCTGTCGAAAATTTATTCAAGTACTATGGGGATTATTTCGTTAATTGTTATAGATGCAAAGTTGGTTAATGCTCAGCCCACATTTTCAAATCAGTTTCGTCTTTAACCCTTTAATGAGTACTGGTACATATATGTACTATAACGTTATTATGAATCGTCTGTCAATTGTATTTGACTGAAACATCGACCCTAACATCCATTTCGACCAAGATTAAGCTTTAAGGTACACATATTCAGCATGATTTCAGTTAGCGCAACCTGATAATCAATAGCTTAAATATCTGTCAAAATGTGGTACGTATTTGTACCAGATAGCGCCTAGAGCTTATGCTTTTTGAGTACGTGTTTTTTGTAAGTTTTCCGAGTGGTAAGTATGCTTACCACGAAAAGTTAGTCGTACAAATATGTACCACCAATTAAAACAAAAACTATGTATAATTTTAAAATGTTGATACTCATTATAGCATAATAGGTCATTAACAAAGAATAGCAGTTTAAATGTTGATTAAAAGGCCCCAGGTCTTACCCGTTAAAGTGTTAAAGCGCATCCCTCAATTCTTTTAAATATGGACCTGTTTTGTAATTTTTGAAATCTCTATTTTTTCTCTATTCAATCACTTATCACACTAAATGTTTTTATTACTCTTTTCCAATAAACTGTGCTTTGCGAATTTGTGTAAGTACGATCCTGTACCTTTTTGAACCCAAATATTTTAAATATTTTTGAATAAAAAAAAAAATCAATGTATTGAACTATTAAATATTAAAAAAATTTTAATATCTACAATCTACAGAAAATTAAAAAAACAACTATTGAATCATAACACTTATATCATAATGTATCAAACATTTATTGTGAAAGAATTTCAATTACATGTATGATTATCTGCTTCAATTTTGCAATATTATCAACAATTTTGTCATAGTATACAAAGTGTTCCGTATTGATATTTTAATAATTTAACAGGGTTTTTCTCTACCAATCATTTAATTGGGTGGGGATTCATATAAAATTTTGCAATTTGGTCTGAAATTGGCGAAAACAAACGTTTTTTTTTAATAAGGTTAGACCTGCCAACCTAAACAAAAATTGCACAGCTCTGCGATGTTTAGCGGCACTACAACGCATGCGCATTACGAAGTTTTTGGAGAAAAGCACTCGAAAATTAAACATGCATTATTGGTTGCCTATGTCAATTATCAGATTGCCTCACCCGCCCACCTATCTTTTATTACAATATTTCCTTATCTGGAACTAGCTTACTCTAAATTAATTTTAATGAAGTTATAGCAGAGATATTCTGTGACTTGGCTCACGCGTTTGATTCTGTCAGTCAGACAATATTGTTGTAAAAACTTTGGAGTTTACGGAATCGAAGACAAAGAACTGATAAAATATCTTGCATAACGTAAGCAATTAGTAAAAACTACAAGATTGCAAGTACTTTTACTATATTTACTGATGACACTACGATTTTATGGCTCATCAATGACCCTGCGTTCTTTGTGACATTAAGAAAACAAAGCATGGTGCGACGCTAATTATTTGTGTATAGATATGGAAAAAACAAAAATACTAACCCTTATAAAAAGTCATAACACTGATACAATAAAACTTCTGTTGCAACGACCCAGCTTAGCATGTTCACTACTGTGTATCGATATCTGCGGTCAAGCAGGGTCGCTCACAGAGTACTTGAATGTGTGAATATCCAAGGAAAGTCGACGTACCTATAAAAGCTCAAACAAACTGCCCGAGTAGCTGCATACCATAGCTGGCAGGCGCTATATCAATGAGTACGAAGTATAGCGTGGGGTGTGTCATCTTTCGGAAGAGACATAAAGCCGTCGGTCCCAAGTCTATGGATGTTGGGCTTGTTAAAGATGCCTACCTTTGTTTGGAACATCAGAGGATTCGGCTAAATTTCTGGTATTTGGGATAGCATGCTCCTCAGCGGTAATGTTTAAATCTCATAGAAATAGGCCGACGTTATATTAATTAATAAAAAAATAAAACTTCTGGGCATTAATTTAGACAATAATTAGAAATGTAAGAATTGCTAAACAAAAAACTTTCTTCTGGATGTTTTGCAGTCAAAACTGTGGTTTTAAACCCGCTAAAAGTGTATATTACGCTCTAGTTGAGTCCCTCTTAATACGATATAGGGAAATGCATTTTAGGGAGGTTGTAGCCATGAGGTCTAATTTTATTTCTACAGAAAGGAGCAATATAATTTTTATGTGGAGTGAATAATCTCGACACATTTTTTCAATCTTCTCGTGTAAGAGAATAATGATCAATTACTGTCGACGACATTGGATTGATCATAAAATATAATTGGACATCAATGATATATTTTTAATATAGCTAAAGCGCAAACTGAAATTGGTAAGGGAACATCTATCAAAAAAACGTTCTAAGTTCACTATTTTTCATCGCTAATAATGAACTTTAAACTTATAGTGAGAATAATGATATACCTAAAACTCATGTAGGTATGGCCAAGCAAATTCAATTGTTATTTCTCAGTGTTGTTGCGCCATATATTTTGCACCCGTCTTATACCGGTCATTAAACAACAATTAGCAGTTCGTGTCCAGGTGCCTATTAAAATGCGTAGGTATAGCTTTATAAACAAAATCTATTTGGTTTTACATGCACGCATTTTATGTGAAACCAACTTTATATATTTTTCCGTTAATCGTGTATTCATCCATAGTTAATGTTGACAAAATCGGGCATTAATAATTGTTTAATTATAAAAATGTTTACTTCAAGTTGATTTCCGCCTGTTAGCATTCTCAAGAATCCCCTTATGTTTATTTCTTAAAAATTCCCGTTTTTGAATTGCGAGAGCCCCCGTAGTTCAAAATAATTTTTTACTGAAATTCGAATCTTTGAATGCTCAAATTTAGGTAAATTATCTGGTCATTTTCGCAAATTTCAAAAGGACAATTTTTCACTCCTCTAATTTGTAAATATTGGCTACTCCTACTCCGAACCACTGGGAAACCGAACTAGTCCGAACGTAAAGTATATCCGGGCTCCCCGCGAATTCTTTCTTCCAATGCCGAACTACCGAATTTACCGTTTTTAAATCGTTATTGTGAACATCGTCGTTTTTTTATTTTGCACTTTGTGAAATTAAGGTAGGAATTTTTCACTGTCTTTTCTAATAAGATTTATTTTGTTGTTCTCCTGATCGACCGTCACTTGTTAAATATTAGCAAAGAAATCATTTGTTATAGTCCGAGAAAATTAGTCTTTACTAGGCCGAATTTTATACCGTTTTCTGAAATAGTACTTTGCAAAGGAAGTCTTCTTTCTTTTGTATTAACTTCTTGCACCTTAATTTATAGTTTTTTGTAGTGTTCTTGGGTTTTTAGGTCCCTGTATGTATTCGGCTGGTTTTTAAATGAAATTCGTATGTTAAAGCTTTCGGCACTGATTAGCGCCTTCTTCAGTATGGTATTTATTACTTTATTATGTTGCGTGCAAGAAATTTGTTTTTTTTTATTATTATTATTATTAGTTATGAATTTATGTTTTGTATTCTTTTTTTTTTAATAGGGCACAAGTGGGGAGTCTTTTACGATTTTTTCTTATTTTATTTATATAATTATTTGCCTGGTCGGTTTTATTTGGATTTTTTTTGGTATGGTTCTGGTGTAGGTACCAGTTTTTTCCGCTTACGGTCCCTCATAGAGGTCTGGAACAAAGAAAAACGTTTTTGATTTTTTACGTAGATTAGTTTTTAGTACTTATTACCATGCACCTTTTCGTTGAAATGATAGGGATGACGGATGACTTACACTTGACAGTTTGATTGACATTTGACGCAGTCGCTTGTCATATTCTTCTTTTTTATTTTGTAAGATAGGCCAGTCCAGCATTATTGCCTTATTATTGTCTGGTTTCAACGACAGTACTTCTTAACATTTTCACTGTCCAGCTCTCTAAGCCTGCGCGTGTGCGGTACCCACAGTAAATTAGTTTTTAAAAATACAGATGTAGTTTAACTTACTTTACTTTTTGAATTGAAATAGATTTACTTGTATAGAATCTGGTAAACTGGTAAAAAATAAAACAAAAAGCTGGAAACGCGTTGAGGTCACCCAGCCGTAAAAATATAATTTTATCCAATATATCTCGAACGCGGTAGCCGCGTTGAGGGCAGTGAAAGTGTTGAAGCCGAAATAATAATTAATTTCCCAACTTTGTACGGAATACCATTTTGTGAGTTCTGAATTTACGTTAGCGAAGCAAGTCTAGCATTAGTGCAGTCACCGACTTAATTTCTCAACATCCAAGGTTCCCCGCGTCAATAGACCCTTTACTGCCCCGCGCCCCGACAATCAGTGTAATCTTTAATTGACTGCATACCGTCGATCACGAAATAACGTTGCCCCCTTATCCATCACTGTATCAACTGTAGTGAACCACATCCCTTTCAAAAATAATCTTTTAATCGGGGACCGACAATTAAAATAGGTGAATTTTAACCAAGCTTCATTTTTCTGAAAATCCGACTTTTTAATTTATCGTGAGAATTATTGCTTCTTGTAGGGAAATAAATTAGATTTTAGGATGACAATGATAGTTGCCAGTTGTAAATAATTCCATCACATTAAGTATATTATTAATTAGCTTTTAGTAGGGGCCTACAAGTGCGACCGTATTACTTATTTTTGTTTTATTTATTTATTTGCAAAAAGCTTTCGTACAATGCATTAATATACAGGATGTGTTCCAAAAATTATTTAAAATTGCAGATTTAATTATTTTATTTTGTTTATGTACTGCTCGAGGCTTTTTTTTGTAAATATATCTTCTTTAGGTTAGTTATACTGCTAATTAACCTGGAGGTTTCACCGCTAATTAGATATATTGCTTTGTTTTGGTTTTACTTCGACGAAGTTTTAATTTAGTTAATATATTTTCATTACCTTACCTTTTTATGTAAACATTTTTCATTAGATTTATTACACTGTTAATTGAAGTAGCGTTTCCACCGCTTATTAAGAGCATCCGTCTTACTGATTTATATTTATTTTCTTACTTTTTTTTATATAAACATTTTTTATTAGATTAATCATTTATATACGGAGTGGCCCAAAAGTCTGGAAACGGCCAATTATCTCGTAAATTGCTAGTGCTAATTGTACAAAATTTGAGGTACACCTATTTTGGGATACGGAGATTCCAGATTTGATATTTGCAATGTTGTCAGATTTTCCGTTTCTCTTATATTATTAGTCACTTTGGTTTTTCAAATTGATCACCCTGTATATTAAGTCATTATTGGAATCTCCTATTCAATACGAGTTCAACCATATGAAACACTTATGATTTTATGTAGTCTGGAAGGTTTTAAATAAATAAAACAATCATGGAGAAATGTGGTAAATGCACTCTATCATCGATTAGGGTACTGTCAACTCACAAATGAAGCACATTTTGAACACTTGATAAAGTAACCATTATGTTAAAAATGTTGTAATCTTTCAACTGTTACGTCTAATGTAGTTGAAAATAGTTTGTATTAAAAAATTTATTGAGACAATTCGGCGTTGCCAGACTTCTGTTTTATTTATTTAAGACCTTCCAGACTACATAAAATCATAAGTGTTACATATGGTTGAACTCGTATTGAATAGGAGATTCCAATAATGACTGAATATACAGGGTGATGAATTTAAAAAACCAAAGTGACTTATAATATAAGAGAAACGGCAAATCTGGCAACATTGCAAACATCAAATCTGAAATCTCCGTATCCCAAAATAGGTGTACCCCAAATTTTATACAATTAGGACTAGTAGTTTACGAGATAATTGGCCGTTTCCAGACTTTTGGGCCACTCTGTATTATATTTTTTTTTTATTTTTTTTTATGAGCAATTGTTTGTAAATAAAGACTAAAATTATTTGGGTTTCCACCGTTTCAAATATATTATTTTGTATAAACTTCCTGTGATTCTCTTAATTATAACATTAACAAACTCTTCAGGCATCATGTATAAAGTTTGTTTTTTCATCCTTGAAAATATCTAAATTATTATTATAATAATAATAATAATAATAATAATACTCTCCCTTGGGGGGTGGGTTGGCTCAGTGGTTAGAGTCATGACTTTGAGATCGGAAGGTCTCAGGTTCGAATCCCACCGTTGGCCCGGATTTTTTCATTTAATTTAATTATTTAAAATTAATTCTAATGCCTTGGTAGGATTCCCCACTCGACCATTCACTGTTGGGTTCTAATTAACAGTGCTGTTCCTAAAGTGGCGCTGGGAAACAGTAACAAAGCCTACACAGAACACGAGGCTAATTGCCGTAGTAGTCGACGCCGATGACACCAAATTAAAAAAAAAATACTCTCCCTAATTCACCCCCTTACGAGTGAATTTTAACCCCAAAAGCTGAGCTTATGCGGGGAAAGGGACGGCTATTATTAATTATTATTTGCCGTGGCGCTCCGGGGCGACTTAAAGATGATTGATGGTTCCATTTGACTTACAGGTGAGGAAAACCCGGAAAACCTCACCCACCATCATCGAGACGGTAACGCATGGTAAATTATGCTAATAACCTAATTTGTACAAGATGATTGAAAAACATTCCGATGGACATTTACCAAAAAAAAATTAAATAAAACGTGCAGGTCCGTATTTAACAAAATATACTTGAGGAATAAGACCTATTAAAGACGAAACGTCGCTATAAAAATTTTCTTCGTTATGTTAAGCGGTATTTAACCTTCAACAAAAAAGCTTAATAAAGAGTTCTATATTTAAAAGCAAAAGCAAAATATCTCGAAAACCGTACCTGATATTTTAATTTTGATTTGATTTTAAACAGTAAATTCGTCTAGACAATGGGCATCTTTTTCCGATCGACTAACTGTACTTTGTTTAACAAAATCTCCATGGTGTTTAATTACATTTTCACCACCCTGTATATATCACCATCAACCATTATGGGTATTACTTGCCAGTAAATTACTGTTAATATAAAAATGTTTTAGAGTCGCTGAAAAACTAAACAAAGAAATGTTCGAAGTGCCAACAGGTTGGAAATTTTTTGGTAATTTGATGGATGCAGGCAGATTATCACTTTGTGGTGAAGAAAGTTTCGGGTAATTAAAAATTTTTGACAAAATTTGTAAACTCACTACTTTATAAAATAATATTATGGTTTTTCAGTACCGGATCTGACCATATCCGTGAAAAAGACGGAATTTGGGCGGTACTAGCGTGGTTATCGATTATTGAGCACAAAAATATGAGTATAGAGGAAATATTGAAAGAACATTGGAGTATATACGGGCGAAACTACTTTACAAGGTTAGTATGTTTATATATTCATATAAAGATTAGATACTTTTGAAACATCTTTTTATTTTTTGGTACATATATAATTGAAATATATGATATATTTTTAAGGTATGATTACGAGGAAGTAGATAGTGATGCAGCAGACAAAATGATGCAGCATTTAGAAAAATTATTGGAAACCAAAGGCCTGATAGGAAAATCATTTTATTCCGGTGGTAAAACTTACAAGGTGACCAAAGCAGATAACTTTTCCTATGTAGATCCAATTGATAAGAGTGTCACTGATAATCAAGTAAGTAGTTGTTAAAAAATTATAACTTTTCAACTAATCTTTGTCATGCTAAATTCAAGGCATACTTTATCATTTTTTATCACGATGTAAATACAAAATTCTCATTGAACCACATATTCTAAGTTGATTATGACTAGTTTCACCTGAAATTCGAGCTTCTGTGGGAGCAATTGTAGTACTTCTATCTTCAACATTTTCTATGCAATCTTCATTTGCTACATTTAAACTATTTTCATTTTTTACATAACTTTCACGAAGTGTTATCTAACTATTTTCTGCATCAAAATGTTAGTGTCCTCTTAACTAACTCCATCTTTGATATTATAAGTTTTCGGAGATATTTTTGAATTATCTTCTGTGGTTTAAGCTTCATTGGGTATATTAGAACTACTTACTTCTCCTGGAGTAGATTATTTTCATAATTTTTATCATTAGTACTACAATCAGAATTACTTACGTCTTTATTTTCTTTCTAGTCGTATCTTCTCGTTCTTCTATATTTATTTGTGTTGTCTCATATATGATTATCTGTTGAAGTTGCATGTTCTTGAGAAACGTCTAAATTCTCCATTTTTTATGTATTTTCTCCTTTTGCTGCTGTAGAAGACGCGGTTCATCAATACAATTAATTAGTTTATTTGTATCCTGGTTTCTTCTCTATCTTTGGCACTTTCTCAAAATTCTTCTTCAACTATTTCCTTTACTGATCAAACTCGATCAAAATCTAACTTTCAGCCATGTCATCAGTTTCTAAATTTATATTTGAATTGGTTATTTCGTTAAGATTACTACTTTCAAAATTACCCGAATCTCGATGTTCTTCTGTATTAATACAATGTGGATCTTCTTCAAATGATCCAGTTGGTGCATCTTCTACATTTCTATTCAATAAAGAAATATTATCATTTTGCTCTTCTTAAATTGAGCCAGTAGGTATAATATCTGCTATATCTTCTTATGTCGAACTTGTTTCCTTTGGTAAACCTACTTTCAGTGAATCATTAGGTAAAATGTCCGCTTTTGGTGGAGGTTCTTCTAGATCTGTAGCATTTGGTAGTATCTCATCACATCACATTTTAAGGGGGGAAAAAGTTTGATGGGAGAATCGAATATTTTAAAGGTAGGAACTTGTAGCTAATCATAAATAAATAATGACGTAATACAAAGTTTTTGGATTTTTACATTTTAAGGGGGGGTTGGAGGGAATGGGGGTGAATGTTTGTATGGGAGTATCGATTTTTTAAATGTAGTAACTTGAAAATTGGAATTGTAGCTACTCATCATAAATACCTAAAATAATGACGTAATTCAGAATTTTGAATTTTTACATTTTAAAGTGGGGAAACGAGGGGGAGATGAAAGTCTGTAGGTATGGGAATTTTGATTTTTTTTAAAGGTAGGAACTTGAAAATTGGAATTGAAGCTACTCGTCATAAATAAATAATGACGTGTTTCATGGTTTTAAATTTTCACATTTTAAGGGGGGAGAAAAGTAGTAAAATAAAAATAAATAAAAATAAATGAATAGTACAATTAATTAAAAATAAATAAGTGAAACTTCTAACGAAAAACGATATATCTTGATGTCCTGACAGCCTAAAGGAGGACTGCTTTTCTCAAGGGCGGTTTTATGTGACCTGTTAAATAGCTATTTATGCATGCTATCCGGTGATATTAGCAGATAAGAGCCGTACCAGAAATGTGGTTAAAAAAGAGATTTTAATTAGATTACTATACTTATCTCTAATCTATAATACTATCACATACATATCATGAACCCTAAAAAACATATGATTCCTTCATTTTTTGGGAAGTCATCCATTTATTTATATTGAAGACACGACACCACGCATGCGAAGCCGCGGGCAACAGCTAGTAGTCTATCTTTTTAACTAAAGTTCAATCAACAAAATCACTTTGAAATCTCGTTTTTTCAAATTCATTGTCTGCAGCTGCACTTTCTTTGGCCCTTTTTGGTAATTCATCTTTAACCATTTACTGATGGATCTTGCTAACTTGATGTTTAGTCGTGTCTTCAGTTTCTAAATTAATTACTAAATGTGGTCTCAGCATTTGGTACAATACACAATTTTTTGTCACCTATTAGATTTGTTTATGGCTATGAGTTGGGAAGCCTCCCTTACCTGGATCTTTGCAAATCAATTGTAAATATACCCTTTCATCATTGTCTAAGACTCCACAGCCTTGGAAATATATGTGTTAAGCCTACAATGGTGACTTTGTTTTGTTTCTTTTAGTAGTCTGAAAAAGATCACACATTGAATAAAAATCGTATTTTTCGGAGCCAGCTTTAGAGAGTTGTATTTCTCAGAGCTGCTTTGAAGTTTACAATAATTTGTATTGCACGTCTGCATACTAATATCATTTTGTTCAAATGTTGCAATTTTTCTTGAAATTGCAGAAAATAGCAACGAACTGAAAATTTATTTCCGCCATTTGTGAAAAATGGCTGAAATGAGCACAGGCAATCAGTTTAAAAATGCATAAAGTATACATTTCTGGCATTTGACATGTTTTGTGTTACGTTACATAACCTAACTCATTATAATATAAAATATTTATCAAAGATGTAAGTTTTATTTATTTATGAAATGGTTCGTTTTCCCTAATTTGCTTGGTTATTGGTGAACCTTTATTGTGGACACCAGGTGCTTGGTTCAATCGTGCTGCTATTGGATACAGTGCCGGCCTACCCACTAAAACTCCTCCTTTTCAACCCCAGCATCCTGTCATCTTCTAAGTCATTCATTCGGGGTACTGGGTGGTCCTCATGTTTGCATTTTCCTGTCGCGAGCTTCTTTGGATACATTTCTAATGTCGTGTTGTTTGTTTCACACCTTATCGCCTCCCATCTAGCGCATAGTCATCAGCGGCAATTTTTTGCCCATTTCTGTTTCATTTAGAACGGCACCTATTGCGCCCCAGTTTTTCTGTCTCTCATTTCCCATTTGTGACAGTGACAAATGGTATGCACTGGAGTGTATGTGGCCTTGCAGAACATGCATGTGTCTGTCTCTATCTTGTCTTTTCGTTTTGTGTATGTTCGCACTTGTACCAGCTTGCTACATTACCAATTCTCAACTTAGTCCACTACGCTTTATCCGTAGTATCCTGCTACTCTTATTGCCATTTAGTAAGGCTAGCCTTTCTCTCGGACATCTTTGCCCCCTGCTTGTCTCTCTTCTATAAAGCCCGGCTCTCTCGAATACTTCAAGGTATATTAGTGTCGTGGCAGTTATCACTTGTATGGCCTTTAGTGACGTTGTCTTGCAGGCGCTGGCAACCCTCAGTACAACTTTCCTTTTGTCTTCTCCATATAGCAGGAGGGAATGTACTCCATTTAGGACTTCCCGTTTTTTACTTTTAGAGCCGCCAATGTTTTTCTTCATCCCAAAGAGGGATCCCACTCTTTCCTCCACTTTGTTAGCTGAAGTCTATACTTCCCAAATCTTCCTACATCATATTATCACTAAGCACAGGTACCTCAATTAGCCAATATGGCTAGGTTGGTTCCTTCTCCAAGATGTTTCCTCAGTGCCCGTTATATAGGACGTTTCATAGGGACGCTCCTGATACCGATCCATGTGGAACTCCTGCAATCACCTCTAGTGATTCAGTGTCTACTGCAATTTCGCTGTCTCTCCAGCATGTTCCGGAGGTATATTAAAATTTGCCTTTTCCTGAGCTCCTCATTGATTAGGTCCCACAATGTTAAGTTGAAAGCGTTCCTTATATAACATTATTATCGCTAGCCACTTTTCCCCTCATCCGGCCACCTCCTCTAGTCTCCTTTTAAGCGAACCTGAATATGTACCTGTTTAGTGACTAAGTTAGCGAATTTTTTGCAATGAGCAAACTTTTTACAATAAATTGCAAATTGTAATATATGCAACAATAATTTCTCTTGAGCCCAATAGAAATTGCTGCAATTTTACTTGCGAACTGTAAAGTGGCTTTTATAATCTACTTTCATTCGAAATGTTTAGCTTTAAAATTGGCATATAATCACATTCTAAAATATCGGAAAATTCTTAAAATATTGAATAATTAGTATAATGAATTATTTTTAGGGTATAAGAGTTTTGTTCGACGATGGTTCAAGGCTAGTCTATAGGTTATCTGGTACTGGAAGTAGCGGTGCCACCATAAGGATTTACATTGACAGTTACGAAAAGAAAGATGTACTCTCTGACGCACAAGTATGTATATTTTAAGTTTTTTGACTAGACAAATTATCATATCTTAAAAATGTTGATAGACTTTTTGTTTTAAACAAATTTGTCTACAAAACGAAATTCTTTAACAAAAACAAAAAAACAGTTTTTTTTAAATACTTTTGTAACATAATTATTTAACTAAGTAAATTGTTTTGTTGTTTATAGGAAATGTTAAAACCTTTGGTAACAATTGGACTGGAAATATCTAAACTGAAGCAATTCACTGGTTGCGATGAGCCAACTGTCATCACATAAACGTTGTGATAACTTAAAAAGTCGTACTATACTTAGATAAAAAACTTAATATTTTGTGAATAGATTTTTATTAGTTTTTTTTTGTCTACATTTATATTATTCTTTATTTAATTTTGTTATAATTTTAAATCAAATTATATATTTAAATGTTTTTATTTTGTCTTTTTTGTTGGTTTTTTATTAATGTTGAGATTTTTAGAAAAAAATATCATTCCTGTGTAGCTTGCAAACGTTTCGTGACCTTTTGGAAACTGCCATATTGCTGCAAAGTTGAAAAATTGTTGAAAGTGGTATAGAAATAAATTCAATGTTGGACCAATGTATTTTTATTTCAATCTTATATGGTAGCACGTCGAAATCGGATGATTATTAGACTCACTATCTACACAGGAGCAAGGCGGAAATTTTCGTAACCCCGTTGCCTGTAAAAGTTTTGTTTTTGAAACCAATGAGCGCTAGCGTCGTCACCCGATCTGACCGCCCGAATAAGTAAATTGAGGACACTACAATATCTAACTGAAAATATATTGGAACACTACGCCCAATTATGATTGGAACAAGTAAAACTAAGGAGCCCTATGATAAATAAACGTGGAATATATTTTTTTTATTAAAAATAGTATTGGTAGATAACTATACATTCAATTTTATATTTTTATAAATTGGTTTCCCCTTGTACTAGGAGGCTGCAGCTCCTACAAACCACCATCGTAAGATATGATTTTTATAATAAACAGGAATACCCCGTCCTTAACGAGACTCCTATAGTAATTTATAAAATTTTCGCAACCCTGTATACTAATACATAATTTCCAAGTAATATACAATTTCAATCCTTTTATTTATTTATTCAAAAGTGGAAAAAAAATTGATGTACAAAATTAATTTCTTCAGACTTTCTTGTAAAGTATATTTAAAACAATTGATATTATCCAAAATAGTTTTTAATAATTAACGGGTTTTGTATTTTGATTTTTCAGTTTTTGTGTTAAGAGATAACTTGAAAAATCCTTTGTTTCTTTAAAAAAATTCAATTCTTTCGTTCACTTTGATTAATAAGGATTACAGTTGGTTGGCGTTAGACTCGCACATCGTCGGTACATTTCATTTTCAAGAGATGTAAATTTTAAAAACATGTAAATAATAAATAGCGATATACTTGTGGTAAAAAATAGGAGACCCTGAAGTTCTTAACAATTCTTTGAATCAATGGACGCATTCAGCCGACGCAACAGTTAATTTAAACCGAAAACATATGGTGGAAGTCGATAATTAAAAGTACCTGAAGGGTCTAAATTAATAAAATATTTTCAGCATGAAGTAAGGTCATGTAAAAATATACTAAATTCGTAACCATTCATAATGACATATTTTTATTTTAACAAGTGTATACCAAAATTCATGTTTAAAGTTGAGAAATGTGCAGTTATAATCACATATATTCAGCTTTGTCAACCTAGAGTGATGAAAAATCGCCACGAATGTGCAAATTTAGCACATTTCTCTTAAGTGCATTAGCAGAAGACGTGTTAACCTTGAAAGTAAACAATGCCAAAGTCACGAATGTGCCTGGAGAGTCTAACCCACCCTCCTCTAATCCCGATGTATATTTTGAGAAAGTGGGAATTTAGCAGTTGCTTCTGTACTAAAGGCACAAATGTACCACATTCTCAAAACTGAACATTTACACATTCGTTGTTTTGGCATTGTACCGACATATCCGAGAATTTAAGTACTTAAACCCTGGCAATAATGAGAGATTACAGCAGGCTCATTACCAGACCCGTAGACAATTTTACCTCGAATATATTAGGACACGAAGGATAATTGTATATTTAATTAAATAACAGTGTAGTTTAGACCCTAGTAGATTAGTTATATTACAGGGCTGCTACTACTACTACTATTGTCTGCGGTTAATTTGGGAATAAATAGGTGGATTTTTTATTTTCCGAATAGAATTTTTAGTTTTTTATATTTATTTAAAATTCTAAGCGAGGTCAATTACTAGTGTTAGAAGAATTTAATTTTCTATTTTAAAAAGCGTCTTAATTAGCGAGATTTTAGCTAGTTCTACCTTAAAGTGTCAAAGGCCACTAAGTAGCTTAGCCTATATTTCTCAAGAAATTAAAGACTTGCTTGCAAGTAACATAATAATTAAGTTGTTTTATCTGGTATATTTGGTACGTTTTACTATTACTTTGTCTCCAATTTTTAACATTGATTGGAAATTCGATAATTTGATGAAAAAGTTCTTGATGCTCTAAGAACTTCTTTCGCTGGAAATATTTCTCCCTTCCTCGTACACGAACTTCGATTTTTATTCAAGGAGGCACTTAAGATAAGTAAGGTTGATAAATATGGTCCTAGGATAAACAAAAAAGATGTTATGTTTAAATTAACATTTTATTTTTCATCTTTTAAATATCACTAACCTGTTTGGCTATATAACTTCAAAATTCGCCCATAAAATTTTTAAATGTTTACGAAATCTCACAAGTTCTGCACCAAAAAATACGAAAAATGTAGACTTTCCCCAAATTAAAATCCTAAAATATTTTTATGACTAGATGTATGTGAATTTTAGGGCATTTTGTAACAACGTGACAAGAAAAATTATATAAAAATCAAAAATCTGACTTATTTTTTTTTTTGTAAATATCACAAAAATGAAACTTACAAATAATTATTGTTTCTAATGCTACAAATAAGTATACAAAATCCCCGTTTTTTAACTTATTACATAAAATTTAATATACAAAGAGATGTAAATTTTAAAAACATGTAAATAATAAATAGCGATATACTTGTGGTAAAAAATAGGAGACCCTGAAGTTCTTAACAATTCTTTGAATCAATGGACGCATTCAGCCGACGCAACAGTTAATTTAAACCGAAAACATGTTTCTGATATGGTGGAAGTCGATAATTAAAAGTACCTGAACGGTATAAATTAATAAATTATTTTCAGACATGAAGTAAGGTCATGTAAAAATATACTAAATTCGTAACCATTCATAAGGACATATTTTTATTTTAACAAGTGTATACCAAAATTCATGTTTAAAGTTGAGAAATGTGCAGTTATAATCACATATATTCAGCTTTGTCAACCTAGAGTGATGAAAAATCGCCATGCCAATCAATAAAAACCATTAGAAATCCCCAAAATTAAAAATTCCTTTGGTTGGCAACACTGGGTATAATACTTCGTTTACAAAACGCACCACATAATTTTCCTGGTGCCGATGTTGAGCAAGGGTTAAATAATAAACAAATTTAAGTCCATTCAGAAGACCCAACAAGTCGCCTGAATGAGCCCATTGTAGTTTTTCAATAAATTCAGTTTAGATTAGTGATGTTATATAGCTGCAGAGGTAGAAAACCACATGAAATTATTTTTTCACAGTAATACAAATAATACTTAGGCCCAATTGCAACAACACTCTTTAAATCTTAAGTAACAAATTAAAGATGTATTCGAAATTATCTCCTTATATTTAACTATTGCCTAATTTTTTAACGAATGCTTTTGCAATTCAGCCATAAATGCATAAATAAACAAAAAAAAAATACTCTACATTTACTAATATTAATCAAAAAAATATATTAATATATACAACACTAATTAAAATAAGAAAAGTAACCACCTATCGTGATACCTAAGCCTTAATCAGTACTATGATAGATTATTAATCTAAAATGCATACAAAAAACCTTAAATTGGAGAAATTTCAAATTCAGTCTCAATAATGTAAGTTTTGCTTACACTTTACCATATCAAAGTAAATGTGATAAAAAAAATTGGCAATTGTCCTGAGTTTTTGACAGATCATAAGCAGATATGGGTGCGGTTTAGATTTCCCCCACCACAAACTCAAGCTAATGTCCTGAGCCGTTTCGATTTCAGATAAGAAACCGTTCAATCTTCTGTAAGACTAATTTTTTTTCTTTTTCGTTTTATTTGATATTTGCTCAAACCAGAGATAACAGAAGATGTAGCTATCTATTGATATTCATGCTGCCAACAGAGTGGTAAGAGGGGCTAAACAAGGATTTTATGGCGATACATTTTTTTTTTAATATGTGTAAGTGCTTGTGCGCTTATAATAAATAATGTAGAAAATACAAGCCCTGTTGCCACATGTAATACCAAATACTTGATATCCAACTTAACATTAACTAGGTTTTGGAATTTATTGAAAATTATTACATCTAATTTAGTTAAATTTGATATAACTAATGACTCAATTTTTGTTGGGCTCAGTTGCAATATAATATAGGTTGAATTATTTTAGCTTTTTTAAGATATGTAAATAATTTTGTAATAATAAGAATAATGATATAGGCATGACAACAGCAGATAGTATACCCTTCTGTCCCTTAAAATATGTATTATTCATTACAGCACGATATTTGTTTGTAAGTTACATCTACTGTTATCTCTGGGTCAAACCAAACACTGAATGGTATTTTTAAATTGAGAGTGCAGAACACTGGCTCAAAAAAGTAGTGAGGTAATATAAACTGCCTCCATACCTGCTTGAAAACTACCCAATGTCTTGCTTTTATAAACTAGTAAATTTTACCCATTATTTTTCTCCAATCTTAAGGTTTTTACTTGTCATTTTTATATTTATTTTTGCAGGAGATTTTCAAGTGAATCTGCTATAGAATTAGTATCATCCATACTTTCACTCTCTAAACTACCACAAGTATCACCAACTATTTTTGACAGATCATTTACAATAGATTCTAATTCATTGAAATTTTTCTCACACGAAGCACTCAAATCTTTAGAATTATTTGAAAAGTGACCAGAATATCTGTTTCCTTCAATTTCTGCAATTTGTTCACTAATAACTTGGGCGATGTGGAATCCAGGTAGACTTGTACTACTACTAGCTTGATCGGTCTGACAATTCAGTTCTGGTGCACTTGATTTTTGTGAATATGTCTTAGTTTCTACTGCAGGGTAGTTATCGCTTGGGCCATTCATACTACTTTCTTTTATACATATATTGGGTATTATTCCTTTTTCTGTGATAGGAAGAATTGCATTGTTGTCATTTGTAGCACAATTTTCATTAAATGTATTCGAAGTTTTTTTTTCTGGAACAAAATTCTCATTTAACGTATTTGAATCACTTTCTTCAGTAACATATTCTTTGTTGAGTATATTTGAACTACTTTCATCTGAAATGTGAGCTTCTGCGGGAACAATTGCGCTACTTCCAGCTTCAACAATTCTTTCAGGAAATACATTTGTATTACTTTCTGAGCTATCTTCATTTGAATTACTTTCATTTTTAACATAAGTCTCAGGAACTGTATTCGAACTATTTTCTGCATCAAGATGTTCGTTAGGTTCGTCTGAAGTAGCTCCATCTTTGATATAATTTTCTGGAGAGGCATTTGAATTATCTTCCATGGTGTAAGCTTCGTTGGGAATAATTGAACTACTGACTTCTCCTGGAACATAGTCGTCATTGAGTAGATTATTTTCATAATTTTTATCATTAGTACTACAATCAAAATTACTTGATATGTCATTATTTTCTTGAAGTAACTCTTTTTCTAATCTATCTTCTCTTTCTTGTATATCTTCTGAAAACTCCATATTTGTTTCATCTTGAATTTTATTACCCATTAGAGTTGCATATTCTTGAGAAACATTTTCCAAATTCCCTGTATTTAAGCTACTTTCTTCTTCCATTCCTTCTTCAAGAATAGATTCATCCATACTATCATTTAGGTCATTTGTAGACTGGTTTTCTTCATTATTTTTGGCACTTTCTGCTAATTCATCTTCAACTACTTCCATTAACTGATCAATCTCGCCAACTTGACTTTCCGCCATGTCTTGAGTTTCTAAATTATTATTCGAATTCGTTGTTTCTTTAAGATTGCTACTTTCAAAATTATCTGAATCTGAATGTTTTTCTTTATTAACACAATGAGGATCTTCTTCAACAGAACTAGTGTGTGCTTCTTCAAATGATACAGTTGATGTTTCTTCATTTCTATTCATTGAAGAAGCATTATATTCTGGCTCTTCTTGAATTGAATCAGTAGGTACAATAGCTGTATAAGCAGAAGTGGTATGTTGATCTTGTAGCGAACTTGTTTCATTTGGTAAACCTACTTTCGATAAATCAGTAGGTAAAGTGTCAGATTCTGCTAGCGGTTCTTCTAGATCTGTATCGTTTGATAGAATCTCAGATACTACTAGGGGTTCTTCTAGATCTTTATCGTTTGCTAGAATCTCAGATTCTGCTAGGGGTTCTTCTAGATCTGTATTGTTTGGAAGAATCTCAGATTCTGCTGGGGGTTCTTCTAGTTTTGTATCGTTTGGTAGAATCTCAGCCTCTGGTGTAGGTTCTAAACCAGTATTATGGTCTATATTTCTAACTGAAGTGCCATCAACAAATTCGTCTTGAGATCCCATTTCGTCCAATTTATTGTCTGCAGCAAAAGTTTCTTTATCAGGTGGTTGAGAATTTCCTATAAATTCATGTGTATCTTGGGTGGTGTTCCCTTGTAATGATGTACCAGGTAAAATTGACATCTGATCTTCTTCATTTTTGTTTATCAGATCAGTTTTTACAACTAAAGTGCCTTTAAAATTATCATGAGACCTTGATTCTATGAATTCATTATCTGCATAATTACATTCTTTACTAGAAGACTGATAGTTATCAATCAGTTCACTTGAATCTTTTAGCCGATCTTCCTCATTTGATTTATTTATTGTGTCATCAAATGATGTAGTAGGTAAAATAGCTGACTGGTCTTCCTCGTTTGTGTCCATTGGTTCAGGTTCTTCAACTGGAGTTATATTTTCATCGTTCATTGTATCGCTACATTCAATTTTTGGTACAATAGCAGATGCTTCAAATTCTGTAAACATAGAATCATTTTCTTCTATTTCTTCAGACTTTTTTGGGACTTCTTGTGCACTAACAACATTAGTTATTTGAAAACCCATGTCCGTACAAGCCTCAGATGATCTGCTATCTTCTTTTTCAGTCACGACTTGACTTATACGAAACCCCAAGGTATTATCTGTACCTTGAACGATTGCTGGGCTATCTGAATTAGTTTGGTTTAGAGTGAGTGGATCTTCCAACGGATCAATCAACTTTGTACCCGTCAATTGAGCTACATTGATTATATTTAATGTTGTTTCTTCTTTTTGATTCGCGATACTCTGAACATCCATTATAATTGGTTGCATTTCTTTTTGTTTACTTCTCGTAGTTCTACGATTATAGTCACCAAATGAACTTTGAGCATAACTTCCTATTAATTGTTCTTCTACTGACATCGAAGATTCGCTAAAGCCCACTAAATTATCTTCAATTTCAATAGAATCTTCATATATAGGTTCGGATTTTATGCATTGTAGATGCATAAGGAGGTCAGCTTGGTCTGTATGCGGTTCACGTACAATTGTTGATTGGTCATCTGGAGGATGGAAATATTTCGGAACTTTCCTATTTGGACGGGAACGGGTACCCTTTCGAGTGAAAATCGGAGGTGGAGACTGAAAGTTAAAAATAATGTTATCAACAATTTAGCCAAGGAGCTAATACAATAACTTACTTCTTCTCTGTCATCCGTTATCTTCCGCTTCTTCAGTTTCTTCTGTACATTTCGCCTTACAGTAATATTTTTGGGATCTTTAGGAACAATAGCTTTAGTAGGTTTAGGATCCTTTGCAACTTCTTCATATACTGGTTCTAGCAAATCTAATATTGGGTCAAAGAAATCTTTTTTATGAGATATATCTTTGGATGGAAGAGGTTTTTCAATTTTCTCTTTTTCGAACGTCCTTTTTTCAGTCCTTCTTGAAATACCGGATCCTCGTGGTGGTTTTGTCGATTTTAAAACAGGCATTTCTGACTGCTGTAGAGGAATTTTGATAGTTTTAGAACTTTTTAGCACTGGCATTTCTACTAAAGGTGCTAATTGTACTGCTCTTTTCTTTTCTTTTGTTTCTTTTTCATCCCGTTTCTTTATTTCTTTTTCTTCTTTTCGTTTAATTTGTTTAACTTCTGGTGGTTTAGCCTCTTTCTCTTCTTTTTTCTTTATTTCTTTTTCTTCCTTCTTCTTAATTTCTTTTTCTTCCTTTTTCTTAATTTCTTTTTCTTCCTTTTTCTTGATTTCTTTTTCTTCCTTTTTCTTAATTTCTTTCTCTTCTCTTTTCTTAATTTCTTTCTCTTCCTTTTTCTTTGCTTCTTTCTCCTCTTTTCTCTTTACTTCCTTTTCTTCTTTTTTCTTTACTTCCTCTTTGATCTCCTCTTTGATAATATCCGGAACTTCTGGTTTGATTTCTTGATTTTTAACCTCTTCTTGACCGGCCAAGCCTTTAATCTGGAAAATATGCAAAATGTATCTGTTTATATTTATAAAAGCTCTGCATTTATTTTTATTTTTCCTACTTTCAAATTTTCTGCAACTGCTAAAAGTTCCTCTAACTTGGTTTGAAGGATGTGGACCTCTCCAGAATACATAAAGTCACAGAGAGATTTTAAAATCCAAAATGGAGTATCTTTCATAAATAACACAGGGTGTTGGTAAGGACTAATGCTAGCCAGAACTTCTTCAAAGTAAGGACTGCAAGATGATAGAATGACCTGAAATGAAATTTGTGTAAAATAAGGATATATTTTTACATAATTCATTGAACAATAAATGGAACAAACTAAATGCTTACCCTATGACATTTCAATGTCTGTCCCTCGGCAACTAATGTGGCATCTACGTATTGCTCTCGAAGTAATAAACTGGGAAACGTATGTTGCATGTTAGAATGGTGACTATTCCATTTGAGACAAACCTCTTCGATGGGTGGAGGAGGTGGTGGAGGTGTAGGAGGCTTGGGAGAAGGCAAAGAGGGTTTTGCTTGTCTTGTAACCTTCAATTTGGTAGGAGAAAGAGGTTGACTCTGCAATACTGGTTCTGTGGGTTCAGGTGGTAACACTGGAAGAGGTGATTTGAGTCGTAGCCCTAATGGCATAGAATCTGAAAAATTAGTAATATTCTTAATGAATTTAATAATTTAACATTAATAAACAGCAGACAAAACAACAAAATGTTCTGAGTGAAATATTGTTGTAGATATTGCATGCTCGACAGACGTTGAAAAAACAATAAAAAAAAATGCCTTTGTCGACATTTTCTGTTTGATTTTGCTTCTGCCGGTGAGGGGCTGCTGGCCACACGACTGGATAACTAATTTTATCAGCAAAACTTGATATACAGCTTAATTTCCCTAGTTTTTATTAAAGAGAAGACTTTCAGCTTTAATGAAAACTAGGGTTGCCAATGTTTGCAGTCACTTCAAAAATGTAGCACTGAAGTTGTTATTAATTTCACGTTTAAGAAAAACCAGAACAAACCATGGTTGGTCTGGTGTTTAATAATTATTAACCTTCACTTTTTTTTAATTCAGCCTAAGGGGGCGTCCATTAATTACGTGAGGTATTTTTGAGGATTTTTTGACTCCCCCTCCCCCCCTGGCGAGATTTGGTAAGATTTTCCTTAACTCCCTCCCCCCTTCCCTAATCTCACGTGAGATTTTTCAAAATTCGTGTTTTGGGTGTAAATGTGTTGGATTATTAAAAAAAAACAAAAACACAATATGTTCCATTACTTTTATTTAAGACTAGCAAAGACTAGTGTTTGAGAGTGTTGCAATTATTTAAAATCACACTTCCCAACCTTCAATGACGTTAGTAATGACAACATTACATATATGGTTGTAAATAAACATAATTAAAATATTTTTCCATATTTAATTCTAGAAATACTTTTACTATAATTTAACTTTACTTTCACGCAATTTTACACCGTTTTCTACTAGAAAAAAAATTACGTGAGATTTACGAAAACCCCTCCTCCCCTCCAAGTGAGATTTAGAAAGATTTAGTTTTATCCCCTCCCCCCCTTGAACGCCTCACGTAATTAATGGAAGCCCCCTAAGAGAATCTAATTTTTGATTTTTTGAGGTAGGTATTTAGACTGATAATTTTAGTCCTACATAGCCACATTGCAAAATCTTTTGTTTTGCATATCAAATCTTTTAACGACAAAGAAAAACCGAGATTTAGTTATATCCTGAATTACATTGAAAAAGTAAAAATCAGGTCATGTGGCCAGAGCTCTACACCGGAAGTAGCAAAACCAGACGACAGAAAATTCCCGCAAAGCCATTTTTTATTGTTCTCGACGTCTGAGAAACTTAATTTAGAATTTCACGACTCCCCCCCCCTACATTGTATAACTTGTTCAACCAACTACAAAAAACGCGACGTATCACTTTTTGCAGTCAGATGAGGGACTAATGATCCAAACCTCATCTTAATGTTCATTATGCAGGTAATTGATTTATTTGGTGGGAATTTAATGATTGATGTCATGAGGCCAATAACATGAAACAGAAACTAAAGATGTTCAGGACAAAATTAAAATATTTTTAGGAAAAGCCAAATTAATTTTTTTATTTTTAATTTCACTCTCTATATTTCTGAGAATGGAAACAGTTTGTTTTATTTAATTTTATTGTGGTCAAATTAATTATATTTAAAAATTCGTCTTTTAAGTTTTTTTTATTCTAATCTAATGATTGTATCATAACTTAGATAAAAGAGACCAGAGATATAACACACATCGGTGTTTAACCTGCAACCTGCGCAAATGTTGCCAATTTCTAAAGAAAGGTTAACGGAGTGGGGGAACTGGGCAGAGAGCCGAATTCTGTGACAAGGACCGGACTTTGTTTATTAGCATCATAATGAACTATTAAATTAATTTAAAATATATGTTTAATGGAGTTTTGTATTATGAAATAAAATTAATGTGATTTTTTAATATCAAACAGATGCCACGACATTTTATGTAAAGAGAATACCTTTTATAGAATATTTCGTTAGCGTTTATTTACTATGGACTTTTCAGCAAGAGACTACAGTAAAATGTTGAAATAGAATATTGTTAATAGAACAAGAAATGGTACTCATTGTCTACGAGTATTATAAAAAAGCATGTGAGCAGGCGAATACTGCAAATCAAACCTTGTGAGTTGAACGATTAATTAAAAAAAAAACGATTAAACGATGAATCGATTTTTCCTAAAAATCGATTATTTTCAATCAATCGATTAATACTTTATCTTAAAAAAACGAAAATAAATTATTAAAAATAACGGATAAATCGATTTTCATAAAATATATCAAAATAATCGATAAATCGATTATTTTTATAACCCCTATCGGTCGCTTGCTTTTATCTGAGCATTTAGCTCCAAAATTTAGAGATTCGGATTTTTTGATCCCGTTATCTTTGAAACCGCATTCGATTGTAAATAATAAATAAATATATATATATATATATATATATATATATATATATATATAGATTCGTCCTGCCGACGTTGTGACATCATGTCGCAAAAATGTTGGTATCTTCGTGACATCCTTTAACGATGTGACATCCAAATTCGGATGTCACAACGTTTTTGGGGTTCAAACATCATAGGGGAGGTTTAAAAGGGCGCCAAAAAAATTTCAGCTGGATGTCATAATGCTTAATTTTCAATTTTTAGTATATATTTAGTTCCAGTGTATAGATGTGAAGGTGGCGCTCGCGTCAGTTGGTTTTGTATATTTTGTATATTAAATATTTCAGTCCCTCGACTGTCTAACATCCACCATTAAGTATATTAGAATTTACTCACTCGACTGTCTGACATCCAACATTCAGTATATTAAAACTTACTTACCCGACTATCTGACATCCACCATAGAGTATATTAGAACTCTACACACTAGGTTATGTGACATCCAAAAAATTTATTTTAGATATATTTGGATTTTCATTTTAAGATCTATTTTATGTTAACACATTAACTGCCAAAATTTTTTGTTGGGTTTCGCATAGAGCCAATAAGTTTTTTAAATGCATTTAATCTCTGTGACTAATAAATATATATGCAGCTATATTATTACAAGGTGTATCAACAATGGGTGAGTGGACGATGACTGTATTTTATATTAAAATAAATCAAATGAAATTAAATTAAAATAAATTAAAATAAATTAAAATAAATTAAAATAAATTAAAATAAATTAAATTAAATTAAAATAAATTAAAATAAATTAAAATAAATTAAAATAAAATAATTAAAAAAAATAATAAAAATTATAATAAATTAAAATAAAATAAATAAAAAAAAATAAATAAATTAAAATAAATTAAAATAAATTAAAATAAATTAAAATAAAATAAACTAAAATAAATTAAAATAAATTAAAATAAATAAAAAATAAAATTAAATTATAAATTTATTTAAATAAATTTATATAAATAAATAAATTTATAAATTTAAATATTTATAATAAATTAAAATAAATTAAAATTAATTTAAATTTAAATACATTTAAATAAATTTAAATAAATTTAAATAAATTTAAATAAATTTAAATAAATTTAAATAAATTTAAATAAATTTAAATAAATTTAAATAAATTTAAATAAATTTAAATAAATTTAAATAAATTTAAATAAATTTAAATAAATTTAAATAAATTTAAATAAATTTAAATAAATTTAAATAAATTTAAATAAATTTAAATAAATTTAAATAAATTTAAATAAATTTAAATAAATTTAAATAAATTTAAATAAATTTAAATAAATTTAAATAAATTTAAATAAATTTAAATAAATTTAAATAAATTTAAATAAATTTAAATAAATTTAAATAAATTTAAATAAATTTAAATAAATTTAAATAAATTTAAATAAATTTAAATAAATTTAAATAAATTTAAATAAATTTAAATAAATTTAAATAAATTTAAATAAATTTAAATAAATTTAAATAAATTTAAATAAATTTAAATAAATTTAAATAAATTTAAATAAATTTAAATAAATTTAAATAAATTTAAATAAATTTAAATAAATTTAAATAAATTTAAATAAATTTAAATAAATTTAAATAAATTTAAATAAATTTAAATAAATTTAAATAAATTTAAATAAATTTAAATAAATTTAAATAAATTTAAATAAATTTAAATAAATTTAAATAAATTTAAATAAATTTAAATAAATTTAAATAAATTTAAATAAATTTAAATAAATTTAAATAAATTTAAATAAATTTAAATAAATTTAAATAAATTTAAATAAATTTAAATAAATTTAAATAAATTTAAATAAATTTAAATAAATTTAAATAAATTTAAATAAATTTAAATAAATTTAAATAAATTTAAATAAATTTAAATAAATTTAAATAAATTTAAATAAATTTAAATAAATTTAAATAAATTTAAATAAATTTAAATAAATTTAAATAAATTTAAATAAATTTAAATAAATTTAAATAAATTTAAATAAATTTAAATAAATTTAAATAAATTTAAATAAATTTAAATAAATTTAAATAAATTTAAATAAATTTAAATAAATTTAAATAAATTTAAATAAATTTAAATAAATTTAAATAAATTTAAATAAATTTAAATAAATTTAAATAAATTTAAATAAATTTAAATAAATTTAAATAAATTTAAATAAATTTAAATAAATTTAAATAAATTTAAATAAATTTAAATAAATTTAAATAAATTTAAATAAATTTAAATAAATTTAAATAAATTTAAATAAATTTAAATAAATTTAAATAAATTTAAATAAATTTAAATAAATTTAAATAAATTTAAATAAATTTGAATAAATTTAAATAAATTTAATTAAATTTAAATAAATCAAAGTTAATACATAAAAAATATGATGAGCTAATTCATAAAAACGACTTCAAACGATCGTCGTTCGTGCATCGTCGGTGCCTTGCCGTATAGAGTTAATAGTATATTTAAGTAGTTGTGCGATAAATATTGATGTACGCGGATTTTATTTCTTTTTTATTTTAGAGTGAATTAATCTAAGAAGTTTCACTCTTTTTTTAATACTTAGTTTTTTTATGCTTCTGATATGATTCCAAATAATCTTAC